TGCAGCACGGACGGTGGCATGAAATCTGGGCCAAATATACAATTGTTTCACAAATAGATTGCGCATGGTGCGCTCAATGTGCGCATAGCCAATGGTGAATGCCTCCGGGCTGCACGAGAAGGCCTTGATGAAGCCCGTCTTGTTCCGCTGCCGATATAAACGCAATGCGAACGCTTCCTGACAGCTCTCAATGATGGTGTGTGCGCGCAGCACAATAATGCCCGTTATTAGCTCAATGGGTATGCGCTGCTTGAGCAGATCGACCACAAGAATGCGCGTCGAGATAAACTGTAGGCCGCCCTCCAGATAGACGCGTTCACTGCAATGACAAAGCCAGCGTTTAAGGTATGGAACTGCCTGCTCTGGGTAGGCACTGCGCTATCTACCGCTCTGTGGCTGTGTTGGCCACCTCGTGCACATATTTGGCATCCAGCTTGGACTTGTAGTACTGCTCCTCCCAGTCGGCGCAGTTTATGACCAGCAACAGATTGCCCGCATCGCTATAGACCTTTAATATGTTAAGTAGCACGCGCTCGTAGCTGAGACCTCTGGAATTTGTTTGATTTGAGGGTTTAAGGGGGTTTGTGCCCACTTTATCAGTCGCCCGCTTACTTGGCAGACACCAGCAGCCCATCGGCGTGCACCAGATCCAGAAACATTTGCTTTTCATACTCCAGCAGCTGCACATCTTTGCGCAACAGATATTCCTCGGCTGTCACCAGATTGGCCAAATCCTCATCCGCCAAATTGTCGCAGGACTCGGGTAATGCAGTTGTTGCAGGCGCAGCATCTGTTTCAGTTGCCGCCACATCGGGCACCACACCTGGCTCCACTTCTGTTTCTTTTCCAATCGTTGCATCTGCCTCTGAATCCGACATGGCGCAACAATTTCACAAGCAAACCAAACAAAATGCCGGCATGTGCATATCGATTATGCCAATGCCTACGATATGCAACTGTGGGAGTTATCGATAAAATATTAAGTAGCCCACACACGTTACAATCGCTTGATGGCGCAACAGTGTGTCGCAGACTCTACACCAAAACATTTATGAGGAACTTTACTTTTTGAGATTTTGGCATATTTGAAGCGTATTGATGCTGGTTGCATGAACTTATCGCTTAGGGATCTTATTCTATTTCCGTCTGCTCCCCAAATTTAATAATCTGCATTTCATATAACCTCAAAAAATCTATAATAAACAATTATATAAAGGTAAGACGGATAAAGTGTGCCGATTGTAATATTTAGACTATATTAAATACTGGAAGTGAGACCAAAAACGAATGTTCATAGAAATAATTAGCCAATTCTGTTGTACAACTAGAACTGTGACGTGTTTTGTTTATGTTTTTAAGCTTCATCGATAGATTTGGGTTAAAATATCGATTTGTTGACAATTTAATTCAACCGGCCTAACGAGCACGTGCCGAGCCGCTCAACAAGATTCTGCTTAGTATTTTCTATAAATTCAAGCTATTCGTGTTGATTTTTAAGAAATATTAACAATTTTTCAAAAACAACTTTTCTAAACACTTTTCAACCAAAGAATGGCGGACGAGGTATCAGCGTATGCCGCGTACGGCAAAACGCTGCCGAAAAAGCAAGCACCAAAGAGGAGGCAAGCAAAACGTTGGCCAAAGAAGACAACAAAGCAAACGCCCAAGACGCTGGCAAAGCGGACAGCGAAGCGTGCGTCTGGGGATAAAGCAAATGGGCAAAATAACGGTGCTGCAGCCAAAAGGCAAAATGGCGTGCAAACGAAGCCGAAAGCTCAGAAGCTGGGCACACACGACAACGCCAGCGCCGACGCCAGACGCATTGACAGCATCAGCGGCAGCATACACTGCAACGGCGTGAATAGCAACAACAACAACAACAACAGCAGCAGCAGCAGCATGCCGTCCAAGAAGAACAAAGGCAGGAGATCCGATGTGTCCGATACAGAGCAAAGTGAGTCTCTGGACGATACAGTTAACTTGGCTAGAAAGATGGCCGACTATTTAAGTGAGTGCGGCGAGCAAAATTGTGGCTCTGATGCCGACAGCAGCGGCAGCAGCTACGGCGAATACGACAGCAGCGACAACGATGACAATATGAGCGGCGAGAGCGGCAGTGCAAGTGAAAGCGAAAGCTGCAGCGAGGACTATGATAAAAGCAGCGGCAGCGACAGCGACAATGAGTGCGGCGACGGCGACAGCGACGTCGACTGCGACAGCGACGTCGACTGCGACAGCGACAGCGAAGGCGGCAGTGCCTGGGGTAGCGAAAGCGACGATCAGTTTAGCGAGGAATACACGCTGAATAGCCACGCCAACAGCAGCAGCAACAACAACAGCAGCAACAACAACAGCAGCAGCAACAACAGCAACAGCAGCGCCAGCTCTCCCGAGGCTTCAGTAATGCCTGCTGCCGGCAGACGCAAGGCAACCAAACGCAGCGAGCATTTGGCCAGCAATTCCGATGGCAGCGATTTTATTGACAGCAACAACAACAACAAAAATAAAAACACGCCGCCAGCTGCCAAACAGCAGAAGCTACAGGTGCAGCAGAGACTGAAACAAAAACAACTGGAGAAACAGGAGAAACGCGCAAACGCCGCTGTGCAGCGTGAAAATGCGGCACCCTTCTGTCCGCTGCAGCGTACAGCAACAACAGCTGCCAAATCGTGCCCGCTGCCCAGCAAGGAGGCGGCGGGGGCCAAGCCGGGCCGCAAATCGTGCCCGCTGCCCAGCAAGTCAGCGCCGGCAGCAAACAAAATGGCGCCAAACAAAATGGCGGCCAAGATGTGCGCGCTGCCGCCGAAGAACGAAAGAGCGGCACAACAACAACGAAAACGCGCTGAACGAGACGAGCAACGGCAGGAGGCAAAAGGTAGACGCAGCGAAAATGAGCTGCTGCCAGAGGGAAAACAGCGACAGCAGGTACATCTGCAGGACAGCATTGAGGAGGGCAAACGTATGCTGCACTGGCTGATAAATCCGATGACATCCGATGATTTCTTTAGCCAATACTGGGAGCGCAATGCCTGCCAGGTGAAACGCAAGCAACCAAATTATTTCTCACAATTAATCTCGTTTAAGTTGATTGATGAAATGTTGATACGCAATCATTTGGAGTTTACCACCAACATCGATGTGACCACCTATAAGAATGGTATGCGCGAGACCCATAATCCGGATGGACGCGCCATGCCGCCAACCGTGTGGGGCTTCTATAGCGATGGCTGCAGCATACGCATTCTTAATCCGAGCACGTATTTGATAAAAGTGCGCCAGCTGTGCGCCATGATGCAGGAGTTCTTTCATTGCCTGGTCGGCGCCAATGTGTATTTGACGCCACCGAATAGCCAGGGATTTGCGCCACATTACGATGACATTGAGGCGTTTGTGCTGCAGGTGGAGGGACGTAAACGCTGGCGTTTATATTCACCGCTGCATCCGTCCGATGTCCTGGCACGCAACTCATCCGGCAACTATAGCCAGGCAGAGCTGGGTGAACCGCTATTCGATGCCGTACTGGAGCCGGGCGATATACTCTATTTTCCGCGCGGCACTGTCCACCAGGCGGTCTGCGATCAGCAACAGCACTCGCTGCACATCACGCTCAGCGTCTATCAGCAACAGGCGTATGCCAATCTATTGGAGGAGCTAATGCCGGCCGTGCTGCAGCGCGCCATTAAGCATCATTTGAGTCTGCGTCGCGGCCTGCCGCTGCACATCTGGCAGCATTTGGGTCTGGCCAAGGGCGACCAGAAGAGCGAGCTGCGCGACGAGCTGCTGGGCAACACCAAGCGTCTGGTCCAACAATATCTGATGCCCAGCGATGCCCAAATCGATGCTGCCGTCGATCAGCTGGCGAAACGTTTCCAGCACGAGGCCCTGCCGCCCGTTGTGCTGCCCGAGGAGCATGAGCGCACCGTTTTCGGTTCGCGCAGCCAAGCCAATTCGCATGGCCAGTGCCTGTGCGATTATGAGCTAACCGAACGGACCAGCGTCCGTTTGTTGCGCGCCAACATATTGCGGCTGGTCGCCGAGGGCAGCAGCCTGCGTGTCTACTACTATGTGGATAATGCGCTCGAGTTTTGCAAATATGAGGCCAACTTTATGGAGATTCAGCCAACAGAGGCGGCTGCCGTCGAGGCCCTGATGAGCGCCTACCCCAAATATCTGAAGGTTGCCAAATTGCCGCTGCGCAGCGCCGAGCGTCGCATCGAGGTGGCCACTGCGCTCTGGGAGCGTGGTCTACTCATGACCGAGCAGCCATTCAAATAGCCCACACATCTATCATATATCAATTGTTATTAGTATTATAAGCACCTAGTTTTTTTTAGCACATTTGTAATTTGTCCGCATCCCGAGCCCAGTTTGGATTGCGCGCACAAAGGGGGAGGGCGATCACGCCTGCTCCATAAACAATAATCCCACAATTGTCATTAAAGATTCGCCTTAGTTTTGCTAGTCAACAACAATTGGCCGACTTTTGATTGTAGCTGCAAACCCCAAAAAAAACAAGAGGTTCCAGTCGGGAGCTCCCGACTAGGGGATACCCTGAACCCTCTTCTTCCAGCATCAAATGCATATATATATTCCATTTTAGAAGCAACATATTGACCAAAATTGCCCACAAAACAGGATATCGATATCGATTTTTTTTATCGATTGCTTGTAAACGGAGTAAGTTATCGATTATCGGAAACAAACTCGATCTGCGCAGGCACGAGGAGCACCTACATCAAGTCTCTAGCTCTACGGACGGACAGACGGACATGGCTAGATCGATTCGGCTATTGATGCTGATCAGGAATATATATATATATTTGGAGTTTGCACAAATAACGCCGAAGATTCAATACCCTACTATTACAACAGCTAACGCTTCTGCGGCTAAGCGAGAAGCACTACGAAGATTTTCTCAATGGAGCACTATGAATAGATACACAGATATATATATATATATATATATATATGTATTAATATATGTATGTGTGTATAAAGAAAACAAAAAACTACATTTTGTGGGTCTGCGCGTTCACGTTTTACCTTAAGCGCTGCGAATTTTCTTCCGCTCGCGATACAAGCTCTCCTTTTGTACTGTAAGAGGTGAATTGTAATATAATTGTGCTTTATATTTGTGGATCACTCACTGTATGGATCGAAGCGTATCAGCTCCAGTTTGTCCGCGAGGCGCTCGCGGAACGCATTGAACTGATGGCCGCTGACCACGCTCTCGAGCACCACCATGATGCGCCTGTAAATGTACGATTTTGTGTATTAGGCACGGCTGGTTATTTGTTTTGTTTATAGGCCAATCACTCACTTGCTCTTTACTTTCTTGAACAGCACATTAGTGAGCCTCATTTTGGTAACAATTTAGTGAATTTATCAAATTACTTCAGAGAACACATGCAAATTGTTGTGCAAGCCGACAGAAGAAAAAAGCACTAAAAAATACCACAAACAGCTGACAACGTGTGCGTAGTATATCGATATATAGTGTTGTAAAACTAGAAAATATATTGTATGCTTAGTGGTCTTGGCAATAGACGCGCGCAATTCAAAACGAGCTGCTTTTACTAAGCTTCTTTCGCTTTGTCTTAAGTATATTAGCTTGTTTACTTATTCGTTTTGGGAACACCTTGTTATCGTTCACTTCATTTGACTTTAGCTGCTGATTGAATGTAACTCATGGCTGATGCTGCCAAGAGGTAAACGCGCACTTGTGTTATCGATTGCTCAGTGCTGTAAAAGCGCGCAATTCAAAACGAGTTGCAACTATTTAACAATTTTATTTTCTGTTTTTCTTTCTTGAAGTTTAAGACGCCATTCAATCGGAATTTATGACCAACTTTTGTGCAAGTCATGTACATATCCGTGTTAGCGCCGCACAAAACAATATTCCACAAGCAGCTGATGCTGCAAGGACATTGGCGAGCACATATGTTATCGATTGCAGTGCGTATGCCCAGTGCTGTAAGCGCGCAAAATTTGAAATGTTTTGCATTTGATTTGCTCTTGCTCAATTTGATTAATTATGCCCTTGAACTAGCACTAAACCTAACTAAGCCCTCTGCAAATATGTAAGTCAAGTGCACCCACGTGTCCCTGAAGCCCGCACAAGGCAAGACTTAATCCACTTACGAATCAAATTAGCGTACATTTAAAGCAAAGCAAACAATGCGCGAACGCCACGTAACAGCGTCAAAGTGTCCCGTGTCTGGGCCCGGTGGTGCCGCCGGTGCCCCTGCCCTTGGTTGCGGCTGACTGGACAAAGTCAAGTCACACCGCTGCCAACCATCAGCAGGCGCATGACTAGACTTCCGTCGTCGACGTGGCCGCCAACGCCGCCGTCGCCGCCTGAGCATCAAGAGGGGGATGTGAGTCTGTGTGTGTGTGTGTGTGTATGTGTGTATGTTGTGTTTCCTTTCCGTTTCCGTTTTGTTGCGCTGGTCGTTAAATAGCTTAAGCTGATACAAATTAAATTAAATGAATACATAGCAAGTAATGCCGCACCGGGGCGCTCATTGTCAGGGTCAAAGCGAGAGGAGGACGAAACACGAGCACACTTCGGTTCGTCTGCACGCACACATAACCTCAAACAATGACGCCAATTGGCACAAAAGCTTAAATGTGTAATCCGGCCGACAATGACTGTGACTCGACTGTTACGGTATTGTTGCCGCTGATGGCTGGCTGCGCCGTTGTTGTTGGTGGTTGCTGTTGTTGTTGTTGTTGTTGTTGTTGTTGTGGGAGTGATGCTGTTCTTGGACCTATTACCATATGAAGGTAAGGTCAACAGCATCGGCAGCAACAAGAGCTGAATAAACGAAAATTAACGCAATCACAAACATATTAATATAAGTATATGTATGTATGTGCATAATAGTTAAGATAATCAGATTGCGTGTTTAGGCAGCAGCTGTAAGAGCGGTAATTTGCCGTTATGCGCTGTTGTTGCTCACGTGCTAACCCACGTTGCCCAACACTAATGCCAAAAAGCACGTGCAGCATCTCGCTCGCACCTGTGCGAAAGCCTTGCTGCCTTGAATGCAGCCAAGCTTTTTCTAGCGCCAGCTTTAGAAACCAAACAAAAACATGAGCGAGCATAACACACACACACACACACACACACACAGACACGGAAGCTAACGCGCGGCTTTGTCACAATGCAGCCCATAAAAGTAGACTAACAATATTGCGTGCGTGCTATATCATATGTAAATTCATGTGCCCAAACAGGCTAACATGCGTAGCTTATTGATATAAATAAAATATATATATATAAATTGTATGTAATATGTTCAGCTTAGGCCGCCATATGTTGAACTTGTGAGCGTGCACTATTTGGGTGGACACGACTGTTGGTCGCAAACAGCAAGCACAACACACAAAATGTTCAGCTGCTGTTGTCGTCGCACTTGTAGAGCTTTTTACGCGGATAGGGCTGAAGCTGTAGCTAAAGCTCTCTACGGCTGACGGCAACGTCATCGTGTAAATAAACGCAAATTCAGTTCATCAACGACACTCGTGCGAGGCGGATGCGAAGCGCGCGCAATACTCTGCCTAGTGCGATAAACAAAAGTAGACAGGAGAAGTAAGAAAAAGTTGCCTATTTACAAATGTGAAGGCGAGCCCAAAAAAGCAGGCATTGAGCACAACAGCAGCGGCAACAACAACAACAACAGCTTAACTTAAAGCACGCGCATTTCTGCTGCCTCCTGCAGCAGCAGCAGCAGCAACAACAACAATAATAACAATAACAAACACACAATTAGTGCGAGCTGCTAATAGTTCTTGCTATTCTTCTTGTTGTTGCCAAGTCCAAATCAAAATTAAAAAACAGTAAACAGTAAACAATAACAGAACATTTTTGTTATTTTTTTTTTTGCGTGTAAATAAAAAGCGTAAGGCAACTTTTTCTTACTATTTCTGATGGTTTTTTTTTTTTGTTGTCAATTTTTTTTTTATGTGTTAACAGCAATTTGATTAAACAACAACAAAATGCTAGCCGTATAAATAAATGTGCAGAGCCCAACAAAAGTCAAAAATCATAAAACAAATTATATATAAACAACAAATCACAGACACAATTTTGTATTTGTAGACGCCGCCTTAGCGGCAGTGCAGCAGACGCCAGCGTCAGCGTCGACGGCGGTAAGCATTCAAACCAAATGAAAAAAAATAATAATAAAAGAAAAAACAAAAAAAAAAAAAACAGTTGCATTCCATACAATTCCAGCTTCAGCGCGCTCTCTTTTGCGCTGTTCCTATCTCTGGCCGCTGGCTGCCCGTTATGTGTGTGTGTGTGTGTGTGTCTGTGTTTGTGTTAAGTCTCGCTGTTATTTGTTTGTGAGCGTGTGTGTGTGTGAATGCGGCGATTCATGTTTTTGCAGCGCGCTTTTAGGCGCGTCTTCGGCAAACGCAACTCAAATGCAGCCGAAAAAAAGCGCGCCACAATAACAACTAATTAAAATGTCCGCAATTGTCAGACGCACGCAGCATAGCTAACCCTGTCCCTAGCAATCCCCAAGCCCCCCCCCCCCCCCCTCCCCTCAACTCCACAACATTCTCTAACATTTATGCCCATTGCCATTCTCATACTCTCGACAGCGTCCTTGGCCATGCGCCCACGCAATTGCATTTACAGTTTTACAGTTTTACAGTCGACGTCGCCGTCGCCGTCGCCGTTGCCGTCCGCGTCGTAGTCGTTGTCAGCGTTTTATTTGCAATCTATTTTCACGTTAATTTATTGTTGTTACTTTTACGTAGAAATTATAATTTCTGGGTGTACATTTAACTATTATCACGGCATATATTAATTTACCTATAAACTCCATTTTACATACCCTTCACCCAGTGGAAAATGATGGGTATATCCATTTGTTCGAGCAGCATGCATTACAGACTGGCGACGCCTTCATGCATATATATGTATATATATATGTACAGGCCTGTTCCTATTCTTATTCTGCTTGTTTATCGTTTGGCTTAAGCTGGTTTTAGTCTCTCTCCAAATTTATTTCAATATTCAAATCTTTTCTTGAAACACATTTACCATTTCCATTTGTAGCTGCACACATTTCTAGAATATTTCAGTTTATTAGAAGATAATCAGAAACTAGCAAATAAGTTATTTAAGAGCGACTTTTTCGGAGTGGGATATTGTTAACGTTAATTATAGGGTGTTTGCCAGTCGAGTAACTTTGTTTAGAGCACGTTTCTTGGCCTTATGTAAGCATCTATACCGTTATATTCAGACCTTGTCTACATAAACTTTACAGATTCGAGAAGCAACATGTTTGCAGAACGTGATTGAAATGAAAGGCTTTTGTTTCATTTCTAATGGTCGAGCAATTTTCATATTAAATGGTCTTTTCTTTCCCTTGTTTTGGAATTCGCGGAACTAGTTTGTTTTTCAAAATGTATTTAAAATTTCAGCTATTCGTTTAATTCCCTTAAGGTAGAAAAAGCAGCTAAATACATTTTTGTAATACCAAGAAACTTGCCCAAGGGTTTCCAGGGCGTGTTGAATTTCAAGGCGAAAGACTATGAGACCTGTCGACTCTAGGGTTTCCATTGTAAACATTAATGAGAAAATTGAGAAGCGAAACTCAAATGAAAATACGTGGAATACATTTGATAAGGTATAAGCAGTTAGAAGTAAAATAGAAATTGAAAAAGAAATATATAAAATAAAATAAATCCATTACGTAGAAATCGCTGAAACAAGAGTCGAAATAATTAGAAATCTGTGTATGTATGTCCACGTAACATTACGGGTATTATGTTTATGTTTTTCGAGACAATGTCAGCTGATGTTCCGAGTCAAGTGTTTTACTTAACATTCATAGTCCGTTCTTAACCCCCTTTTCCAGCATGGCATTTGGGAATTCCATGAAATAGCTATCCAATTATTTGCTTGGGCTTGTGGCAATCTCTAGTATTTGGTCGACTTTTGTCGGTCATTTTCCACACAGATACATCGAATTTCTACGAAGAAACTAACTCAAACAATCACTTTCCGCTCGTTTTCCTCAGATGCTGGTGGAATTTTAAAATAGGTGAAATACATATCCCAATTACCACCCGAAAGGGGTGTATTGGCGAAAAGTTAGAAAGCGGCTTTCAAATTCATTTTTACCTAGTTAAATGTCGTCTTTTAGCTCTTACGGTTTGGGCTGCGCATTGATCATCAATCATTTAGTTAGTCAATCAATCAGTCGGCACAAACAGTTATATCGCAGCATTTTACAGTTAGCTATGTGCTTTAACAGGGTTGCTGCAGCGCAATAACAGTTGCTGCAGTGCTTTAACAGAGCAATAACAGTTGCTGTCAATTTTAACATATTTCACGTTCATATACCTGTTATATTATTTAAATCTTTTTTCGCAAAAGCTCAGCAAGATCAGCCGCATCCTGACTGCGCTGCTCAAGCTGTGGCTCAAGCAATAAGCAGCCAAAAAGCAGCGACGTCGACGTCGACGCTGACTGGCAGGTGAAACGCGTAAATAAACAAATGTGTCGGCAGGGAAGCTGCGGCAGCGACCGAAGCAGAGGCGTGTGGGTGGGTGGCAGTGGGTAGCGGGCGCGCGGCACACAAGCTACATAAGTAAATGAATAAATAATGTAAACAAAATATTAAATTAGAAGAAATTTACTTACGCGCAAAGCCGACGCAAACACAATAGAATGGAACGAAGTGTGAGAGGTGCGAGAAGGCTGGCACAAAAGCACATACATAAGCAAATTGTGCAAAGACCCATTAAAAATAAGCAAAAAAAAAAAATAGAAAAAAAAAGAATTACACGCACTCGCCATCTCTCTCGATGCTCTCCCTGGTAGCGGTGCTCTGGATCGGCCGCTGCAGCATAGTACAGTTTGAGCAGCACAGGGCGTCAGTGCAGCCACTTGTTTCTTTTTTTTTTGCCGCCTTTAGCAATGTTCACATATGCGAAGACAAATGGCGAAACAGAAGCAAAAAACATGTTGTTGGTTGATCTGGCAATACCCTAGCTTATTTAAAAGCAATGGATATATTGTTTAATATGCAAATAACTATCTCTGATATAAAAGAATTGATATTTATTTGCAAGCATGCTGATTTAAAGTTATTTAAATCTACTTCAGAGCTTAAAGCTCTTTGAATAGACATGTGCATTGATTGCAGGGTATTTGCTCAGCGGTCAATTCGCTGTGCTCTTTTATTTGTTTGTTTTCCTGGCTGCTTGATGTGAAGATTGTGCAATAAAGCAACAATAACAAACAATTGCTGCTGTTACAGCGGCCGCACACTCATTGCACACATACACACATATCAAGATAGAGATATGAATACGTTGAATAGTGTGAGAGAACGCAATTATACTCTCTCGCTCTCTCGATCGTCACCCACGCACACGCTCTTTCCTACTCTCTCAACACACACACACACACACACACACACAACTCTTTTACACTTTCGTCTTCGTTGTGCTTTGATAAACCAATTTGTTCGTCGGCGGCGGCAGCGGTGGAGGCGGCGGCAGTGACGAGAGCAGCGACTGCAAGGCGTGCGTATCCATTGTTGCGCTCTCAGCCGGTCAGTTGTTTGGCTGAGCTTTTCCCGTTAGCCCGCTCGCATTCGCACTCGCAATCGCGCGCACATTGCCTATTAAACACAACACAACTAAAAAGCAAAAAAAAAAAAAAAAACATACAGAGACCGCGTCACGGCGACGACGGCAACGTGTTTCAGTTTCGATTGTTTGGCAGGGCAAAATTAAGAAGCTTCAAATACGGTTAATTGTTATACCTAAACCTGCTAAACACATACATACATGCATACATACAAATAGACATGCAAGTTTACGCGAAGCTGTGCGAAATGTTGTTGAGTTGATCTCCAAATGTTGTTGTTGTTTACGTGGTTTTCTTTTCTTTTTTTGTTGCTGTTTTGCTCTAGTGTGTGCGTGTGCTTGTCTCTGTTAGATAAAAGTGCAACAAATTCGCCAGGCATAGCAATTACAAAAACAACAAGCAGGTGGCAATTGCTTAAAGAGCAGCCAACCGCAAAAAGCAAACCAGAGAGCGTGAGCGAGAGAGAGAGAGAGAGAGCACGAACGCGCGCCATTGCGAGCGTCTCGCAGGTGAGTGTGAGTGTGTGTGGTTTTCGAGCACAGTGCTGTTCAAACTGTATGCAACTATTTTACCTAACTTGAGTTGGTCGGTTTTGCGAGCACTCTTGCCGAGTATGTATGTATATGTATATATATATGCATATGCCTTTTCATAACTGTTACAAACGGTAAAAGCAGCATTGTGTCATACCCTAACTAAACTGGAGAATATTAATTCATAAATAACTCAAACGTAAGATTGTAATATTAAAAAAAAAAGAAAGAACGAGAAAGAAGAAATACCTTCGGCACGCCGAAGACTTAATACCCTTGCAGACATAACCTTTTGCTTATAAAAAGCGATAAAAAAAATATGTGACATATCAAATAACATGTTAGGGAAGTGAGAGTGATCTAGTCGGGAGTGTCGGACTAGGTGATACCCTGTACCCTCCAACAGCAAGTGCAATTTGTCCTCATGTCAGGATGGGGCACGGGGCAGCATTAGCTATAAAATGGAAGATACTTTATCTCTACATACTATTCTCTAGGGTATAATGATTTTGTGCAAACATAGCTTAGATATGCACAAAAGCAATATACACTTGTTACCAATTTCCCCATATGTACAGGGTACAAAAATGTCGGAATGTTACCCAATCAATTCTTACTTCACAATCCCTGCAAAATAAAACGAATAACTGAAGAAAAACGAACATTTAATGGGTATGTTAGACTCAAGAGACCTCCCCAAACTAGACGAGTCGAATATAATACGTATATTCAGGCATATTAACGATAGATAATTGCCATGATATTATTAGATAATAATCTAGAATTATAAAATGCAAGCAACAATTAAAATATTCTCCATAGCAACATTTATAACTTACAAGCGCAAAAAGTTTTCGACTCGACAATACAAATAGTCGACAGGTGTTTGCTGATAGTTTTATGTGCCTCTGGCATACACAAACACACACACACACGCACACAACACACACACACACACGCACACGCAGACACCTGAAGTTATAAGCACGCGGCATATTGAATTACATTGCAAACTATTTTGTTTAATTAAAGTCGCGCTGCGGTTTGCACCTTTCACATATCATGCTTGTTGTTGTTGTTGTTTGTTTTTGTTACCTGGCATTAGAATGATGAGAATATTTTCCACCATTTCCATTTCAATTTCGATTTCCATTTCCATTTCCATTTGCGCATTCAGCTCAATTCACCGAACGAGCTGTGCAAATGTCAGAAGCTGTTTGTCTTTGTGGTCACCAGCTGGAGGCAACATACCCCCCACACACACACCCCCAACCCCCCTGCTTACCCACCTTCCTGTCAATAACTATACTGACAATTATTGTACTATGCGCTAATTGAGTTAATAATTAATGTGTGCCAGCCACACTAGCACGACTAGGCAATACCCTGTTGACAGCCGCTTTTAATATTTTCCACACTTTTAATAAGTTCATTCATCATTTTTGAGTGAATATTTTAATCCATATACAAATTTGAGGTCTTAAGGGTGAAAAAATCAGGCAATCAGGCAAAAAAAAAAAGGAATTCTGATTGAATGGAGCAGAAGGCTTAAGGATACCCTCTAAATATCTTGATATAGCGAGCATGAGATTATTTCGTTACTGATAAAGAATATTTAGAAGCTATATTGATTTTGCCAAGATACTCTTTTTTTTTATCACCGGCAAGCTATACCCTAGACGAACACAGTTCGATTTATTGGACTTTATTAATAGAAATTTGGTTACCGATTTTTGTCAATATGTTTATTATAAGTTTGTTTTTTGTTTTTGTTTTTGTTTTTGTTGGATCTATATTCTAGTTGATGGACGAGGGTACTTTGGAATCGTAAGTATACACATAGATAAGAAATACATCCAGATGACAATTTGGTTCACTTTATCTGACAACAATTTTGGTTGGATCTAGTGATAAACTTACGAGAAAAAAAAAAATGGAAACGAAAGAGATAAGAAGTTAAAACTGAAATTACAACATTCACCAATCCATATATATATATGTATATATTATATATATATACATATGCTATACATACATATATATATATAGAGAAATTGCCCGATGGCAAGGCCTGCTTCATTCCCAACTCATGTTCGATATAACTGATAAATATGTATATACCCTCCATATATAAATATCTATATATATATGTGTATACATATATATATATATCCTCAATACAAGGCGCCTATCAATAACATAACTGTCAAATAGATGCCCACCGATGTAACTGGCAGCGTTGGCATCGATAACGGACTGTTCAGTATATAGTCCAGAAATCGGGCAACTATCTCGTATGCAATGCACTTGAAGTTCGGCCACGACGCTCGCAACAGCCGCCAGCGACGCGTGTTTATAAAGCATATCACATAGCGAACCATTCCGATTTTTCGTTCCATTTTGCCGATCTCCTGCAGTATGGCATCGCCGTTGTTCTCTTTCAGCAGCTCGTTGTGTTTGCTGTGCGAGGGGGAAGAGAAAAGAAAAAGGGAAAGATACAATTTAAGTTATATAGCAAAGAGCTTCTGACATGCACACGGTCTAAAAGCAGAGATTCCTTTGTTTTGATACAGACATATTTTATGTTATAGAAGAGAGTGAAAAGTGTAAGTTGTATAGCAAAGAGCTTTTGTCATACAACAAGTATAGAAGAAGAGATTCCCTTGTTTTAATGAAGACATATTTTATGTTATAGAAGAGAGTGAAAAGTGTAAGTTGTATAGCAAAGAGCTTCTGTGATGCGATAAGAGATGTAAGATGTATCTGACACTTATCGATTATAGATTTAAGGACTATTTATTGTAGATATTGAAAATGTTTCACAGAGCAGAGCTGAGCTGAGCGTTAGAAATTGAAATAAATATACTTACAGTTCTAATTCTGCTAGCTCCTCTTCATAGCCCTTGAGGGTCTCGTATGCCTCATCTATTTTCTCCTGCTTTAAATGCACAGCCACGACAATATCGTCATGCTGCGACTGAAAGCGATCCTTAAGTGTTAAAAGCTTTGGATATTGAGATAATTAAATTATGCGAACTGCTTTTGTTTTAGTTGCAATCAACAACACTTACCTCGTCCTCCAGTTCGGCATTGCGTATCTCTAGAATGCGATTCTGTCGCTGTTGCTCAGCCAATTCTTGGGCACATTGCCGGAACTTTGTTAGCTCGCGAAACATTTCAGTTTTTGTTACGTTGAGCAATTCGGCAAAATTGCTGCACTCCTGGGTCTTTGCTCGCAGATCCCTTCGCAATTTCGCCTCCTTTCTGCGCACCACATTCAGCGCGTTCTCAATTGTGACACATCCCTGAGAGCTTAGCTCTGCCGCATATTTAACCTGACGCAGTTCCATTTCCAGCCGATCGCAACGTCGTTGCTCCTTGCATATCATCTTGTTGCGCAAAAACAGATCGTCTCGCATTGTGCTTGCCTGGGGAATCGGGATGGATATTTGTGCTTAAGTGAGGTATCGATAACTATCGAGCTAGGCATAAGCTAAGTTAGTGTCCAATAACTTGACTTGCTTGTGCATCTACGAGCATGTTTAAGATGGCTTTGGTGTTTTCACTTTCGTGGTGTTTGAGATATGTCCAAAAAAACATTGTTTGGTTATCGATATTTATCGATCTTTTGTTAAATAAGACGAATTTTTAAGGAAATTATATTAACTTTCGTTTGTGCGGCTATAGGATCACTTCTGCTATAAATTTTGTGACTCAAGCACTGCGAAATATGCTCAAAAACTTCTATAGATATTTATCGATTACACAGATTTGAAGTTTATATCGACAACTGCACTCCTTTTCCATAATATTCATCTAAAATTGAATCCTAAAGCACAGCTGGAACATTTTAGGCACTGGATTGACCTAGCTTAGCTACAGTTGGGGAATAACCCAGGTCGAGCCTTGCGACCGGGTATGAACACTCTCTCGTGTGCCCTAAAACATTTCATAAAGATCGGACCACAGACAGCCCAGTGAGGCAGGAAAGCTATTCGCATAGAGTCTAGCTAGGGGATGTAATAGAATAACAACGACAGCTGCTCAATGCTGTAGTTAAGGTATCTGCTAGTCGAATACTCGTATGACTCCACCTCTTACCTTACTTTGATATTTGCGAACTAGTTCATGCAAATCGCAGACCTCGGCGCAACGTCGTCGCCAGAGACGGGCGAGCATCACATTGAAGACTTTGATGGCTCTCATGCGGCTGGGCATGTCCATTGTGTGACCCACTATGCCGCTGGCAGTGAGGGAATCCGGAATGCGTTGTGGTGTTGGTGTCGCTGGGCGTGGATAGGCATATTTTGCTTTGTGGGGTCGCATCATTCTCTCAAACGTGGAGCTGAGCTCCTCGATGTCCTGGTTAAGTGACTGCTCCATGCCGTTCCAGTTCTGGTTGTGGTTATGGGTGTGCGTGTGGGTGTGGATGAGGGTGTGACTGTGACTGTGGTTGTGGCTGTGGGTGTGCGTATGCCCGACGATATGCCGCTGCGGTATATCCCTTATAATGTTAGGAGATGACATGACCTTGCCTAAAGGGGCAGGCCGAAGCCATGGAATAGACAAGTCTACAACAAGTCTACCGAACTGGCGTAAACTTACCGTTGGCAGCTGCTTTTCAATTCTGATTCTGATGGCCAAAAGTACAGATATTGTTTTGATTTTAGTATACTTATGTGTTTGTTTGTGTTCATTCCAAAGTGGCAAATTTGACCTGTATCAGGCCCGAATACTCAATATACAACACACAAGCACACACGCTCGCACACACATCTGTCACTGAATCGAATTCCACGGCACATTTGATCTCAATTCAAATTTTGAAGATTAGATGAAAGCCAAAAATATTAATCATATTGTTACAAACTGAATCGAAAGTCAAAGCACATATGCTTTCAATGAAACTTTGATGAAGTCTACTCAAATCTAGCACGGGCAAATTTTAACATTAAATCTCAAGAGATAGTTGAAAGGTTTTAAAAGTATTCATTTGTTTTCGTCTGAGGCCGGGTTGTTCTCAAAAATGTTGCATGCATACGGGTTTCACCCATTTTCCACGAAGGTATTTGAATTTTCACCAAAAGACGATCTACGATCGATTTCAGCTATCTTGATCTGTGCCTGGACCATCAATTAATCAATCAATCAATCAATCAGATTATAGATATAGATATAGAAATAGATATGATGGAAATGGCTGGAATGTCTTTAATTTATGTTCTGAAAGAAAGTTGGGCTGAGCTTAAAGAAAAAACTCACAGATAAGAATGGGTGGATAGATAAAGAGATAGATAGAAAGATAAAGATTTAGATAGATAAATATATAGATGGATAGTTAGACAGAGTTCTACAAAGCTTTTATCAAGCCTGCTATTTAAACCAATTTAGGGCAGAAAAAAGTATATAAATTCATCTATATGTAAAAATATACGGCAAATATATACAGAAAATATGAAATGAGAAATTACATTATTGACTTATTGACACTGTTGTTGGTTGTTGTTGTTGTTGTTGTTGCCGCACGCCATTTTGACAGTTTGAGCGCTCTGCAAACATGGCATTGGGCCAGTGGAGCGGGGAGTGGGGCGCCGTTGCGGGGGCTGGCGTTGACAGGCATCAAACATAGTTGCTGATAAAGCCTTGGCCGGAAGTACAGACGGTTTCGGGGGTGGGTATGTGTGTGTGTGTGGGGGGTGGGTGAGGAGATGGAGAGGTGGAGGGATTGGTTGTATGGCGGCAGATGGGTTGGCGCCTGGCAGGCAATTACCTGCAATAACTATAAATGAAAGAAAAACAGGAAAAACTTATCTAATCAGGCATGCGCGACTATTAGCTACCCTGGCGATGCAAGCTTTCCACTTTTAGGCAACAGTTGTGCTTCCTCTCGCCTCTGCTGCTCAATATTGTCATAATTATTGCTAAGAAAATTTGCTAGAAAATAATATTGTTATCTTATGTTGCTTTTGAAATTTGCGAGAAGTGCTCCATATTAATTATCGACGTTTATTGTTTATTCCTACGACTTGAATCGATATTTATCGATATTTATAAAAATGGCAACGATGCCGTTAGCATGAAATAAGTTTGAACTAGTTCTTAAGCTCTTTGCACTAACTTTTATTTTCCTGTTATCGTATGCTCTATACGTTATATGCTCAAAGAGCTATTGCTAATCGATATTTATCGATATTTATAAAAATGGCAACGATGTCGTTAGCATGAAATAAGCTCGAACTAGTTCTTAAGCTCTTTGAACTGTCGTTTGATCATATGTAATCGTATATATTATATATACAATATATATGCTCAGTGTAGTTGGCCAATCGATATTTATCGATATTTATCAAAATGGCAAGGATGTCGATAGCATGAAATAAACACTGACTAGCTCTTCAAACTATCTTTTGATTACCTGTTATCGTATGCACCATAGAATATATGCTCCAAGATCGATCGTTTATCCAAAATTTATCAATTTGTTAGCGGGAAAGCTGTCTAAAGCTCCTGAAACTTTCGTTCTTATATGGACAAGGATGGATCGACTGATGATCGACTTGCGACTCACAGCTTGATTAGGGTATACAAAAAAAAAAAAGGAAAGGAAAAAGTTCAAGGTTCTCTGTTCACAATGTCACCGAAAATGTTGGCCAAAATTTCAGCTAATTGCCAGAAAACAACAAAACAAATTGCCAAACTGATAAACTGGTAGATTGATAAGCCGATAAATGGAGCAAAGTGTCTTGTTGCTAAGATTGGCGCACATAATTAATTAAAATATCATTAGGCAAACGAAATGCGAGACTCCTGGCAATACGCACTTAACCAACGCCCAGCCCATAAAACTGGGCTAAATAGTTGCCGGCAACGACAATAGCAACAGCAACAGCAACAGGATGCCAAAACGAGAGGGTATATGTAGGTCGGGCGGCTGCCAAAGAGTTGAAGAATTGAAAAACCGAAAGCTGAGTCTAAGCCAAGTCGCATATAGACAGCTGGCCAAAACTAATTATGCGCCTCGGCGCCACTGGAATCTTTTGCATATGAAAGCAGTTGTGAAATTGCCACGACCAAACCAAGCACCCACCCCCCACCCTCCCCCACACACTCTACCGGCTATTCGCCCATCCAAAACTTAACCCACTCAGCCCATGCAAAGGCCATAGAATCTGTCAACCCTGCCACGCGCTGGCCCATTTACTTTTCAACATTGATTAAAAGTTTTTGCAAGTCAATCGGAGCCAGGTCCATGTCCTGGTCCATGTCCTGGCCGCTGTAGACCGTAGAAAGTTGAGCGAATCGCTACGCGTGACAGCTCAAAATGCAATTTGCAGCGTTGCCACCGTGCAAAGTTAACGTGGCTTATTTAAATTTATAAACAAGTCGCAAATATTCATGAAAACCAGCTTCATGCCCGGCCATTAAAGCGTATCAGGCAGCTTTAGTTAAGTTTGCTGAATTGAAGAAAATGATGTGACAATTTCATTTTCACCTTGATTTCGCCTAGGGAAACTATGGATTCTTATTTGCAAAGTTCAACTTGAAAAGTTTCTTCAGTTTTGGCTGCAAATTTAGTGACAAGCGCCAGAAGTTTACTTGCGACCATATTTTTTGTTATTTCCAGCTACGCAAATAGTTAATAACTTAAAGGATGCTTCATATTAAAATATATCTAGATTTCAACGTTGATCAAAATTTCGATTGACAACAATTTGGAGCTGATTTGACTTGTATTTTAAATAGAGAAACATTTCGACAATAGGCCCCTTCTTATGCCATCGGGTTATAGAAGCGTGGTCTATAAAAATGAATAAAGAATACTTTAAAGATTAATATACATTATGTATATAAATATTCCACGGACCATATGTACTATATGTACTTAAACTAAGTATAGATTCCGGATTTTGCGCATTTTCCTTAAAAGTCTTAGGAACAGCTCACAACAAGTTCTTGTTTGCTACCAAATTTGCCAAAATCGGCTCGACACGCAACGGTTATATGATTTTTGTGACAGCCCAACCCTCTCCTACTTGCGACCCCACCCATCCCTTTGGCCCTCCCCCGCACCCAACCTAGACACTCAGCATGGTAAAGGTGGGCGGGCTTAATCCCCTAACCGGTGCGTGGAGCATTATAAAAATGTTCACTTAAATTTTTGCTGCTGCATTTTCTTGGCATAAGGCTAAGCCGCGTACCCGACCCCCGACCCCCGCCCTCCCATCTCCCCCGTTCGACCCACCACTGTTGGCAAATTATGTGTCTTCTTTTGTCTTCCTGCTGCTGTTTTTTATAGCCTGTACCCATTGTGAATGGTATAAAACGAAAGGGTCTACCTGTTTTGTGCACATTTATGTAAGAGACAGACGCAAGCATCTCCACGTCCATAAAGTATATGCCTCCTTATATGGATCAGGATGTCGAGGATGTTCAACTAACTATATCCGTCTTTCTGGACTTAACTAATACAAATGATATGCTCAATAGGTATATCCGACTTGTTCGCTGTCTGTCAATCATTTTCATAAAATCGATAAATCGATCGATAAAAATCGATAAATCGATATAAATCGATTTTCCATTCACGTTTTATAGAGCCAAAGATCCCGAGCTAAGTTTATTTTATGGTAAACACAGATTAGAAATATTTCTCTTCGCGTTCTTGACAAAATGGAATTTGGTTGTCTCTTCTGTTTTGTTTTGAGCATGAGGGTATCTCAAAGTCGGGCAGTCCTCAAAATGAAAGGCTCTTTTCTTGTTTTTAATGTTTTGTTTCCTTTTTGTTTCCGACATTTTGCTGCTCATTTGCTGGCGGTTTATTTGCATAGCCGTTCGCCGCGTGCTTTGGCTCAGCCTCAGCTCCGGCTCCGGCTCCGGCATCGGATCCGGCTCCGGCTCAGCTTCAGCTCAGCAGCGGCTCAGCTCACCTGGCTGCCTGGCTGCCTGGTTGCCAGTCTGTTTACCTGGCCCAGCAGCTGGCTGTTTGTGTTTTATTTGATTTGCATTTGTTTATAAATGATTAACAAAGAGGTTAATGTGGCCCACAGCGGGCGAGGGATAAACAGCGAAATGGGAGCTGCTAACTGAGCCAGCTCAGTCCCCTCCCCCTAAGGCCCTGCCAGATCTGGCAGAACAGCGGCACAGAAGCAGCTCAACCAGAAAACGTAAAAGCAACCAACGCGCAACACGGCGTGAGCGAAAGAGATAGCCTCTGGATGTGAGCGAGCAAGGCAATGGAAATTTAGTTCATTAGGCAGAGCTATGGGGCAATTTCTTAATGTGGGTGTGTGTCTGTGTGTGTGTGTGTGTGTGTGTGCGAGAGTGTGTTTGTGTGTCGCTGCCTCTGTAAAAACTGGCAACATTTGGAGTGCAGCAACAGCAACCCGGCAACGCTGGCGACCTTCACACACACACAAATACACACACCCACACACACGCACACGAAGGCTTGGTGCAGAAGCCATCTCCTCGTTTTTTTTTTGAGTGCCACGCGTATTTCATGCCTCTCGGCATTCACAATATATATATATATATATATATATATATATATACATAAAAATCATAAAAACGAAGAAAAACATATATATATATATATATATAACATTGCTTGATTTGGCAAATTAAGGCCAACATCAGCAAACAGCTACAGCAACAATTGTGCAGAGTGAAAAGTTCAGGGAACTCTTGGCTTGGCACACACACACACACAGAGAGACACACAGACACACATATATCTGATATATACTTTAAATATATAATGTATACATATACATAATTTTGTCCAGGCTCTGTAAATGAATCGAAACTGTAGCAAATCTCAGAATTCGGCTGTGCAAACGAGACTCAGAGGAGCAAATTGAGTTGAATACCCAAGGGAAAGTTAGTTTCCATTTGTGAACTTTACAAATAACAATATATAAAAAATAATTAGTATAATATAATAAATATAGCTGAAATTTTAATGTAGTATGTTAACTAATTAAATCCCGGACCTCGAGCCAGCTAAATAAATATTTAATAATATTTATGACAATTTACCAAAAACATCAAATATAATTATTAATAATTATATTTGTGATTGATATTGAATAATTATGTCTTAATATACTAATTTTTCGATATATTCGTTTTATTATAGAATTTTTGTAATATTTATTTATTCATCGATTTATATAGTCAGATATAGTTATACTAATTGTATCATATTATATTAATTGCATTTAAATTGACTACAAACAATTTTTTATTCTTTACAGATCTTAACGTATTTCTCAAAACTCAACAAAAAGTTGCCGTAAGTTCAAATAATAATCTTTAGTTTTTTTTTACATACTTTCATTGCCTTGCAAGGTGACAAGCACTGTAACATGGCAGCTAAACTGCCTGTCAAAATTTACCAGCAGCTTTAATAATAGGTTTTTTATTCATTTGACAAAGTTTCCACCTTGATATGCATTGCATATGGCTGAATTTGTCAGCACTTAACAGTGTTTCTAAATAGCAAACAGATGGCATAACAGTGTTGAACAGTGTTGTGTCATATTTAAATTGTTTGTGAGTTTGATAAAAACAGTGTTGAAAATTTCTATTATAAGGTTCGAACACCTTTTATACCCTGCACATATGTAATGTGCACAAAGGGTTGTAAACAACTTTAGTTTATTCAACAAAATGTTATTAAAAAGTTATATTAGCACCTATAAAATTAATGCAGCAAGTATATATAGATGAGTTGATCATTGTCTTTATTGACAAGTTTTTTTAAACATATCTCGAGGATTTTTAGAGCCTGACGCAAAAAATTTCATATGCAGTAATAAATATCATCCCACATTGCGCTCGCTATCGGCAAAAATATGTGTCATAAGAGTGCAGCCTTTGGTATGAACACATTTTTGTATGTCATATTTTAACCCTTAAAATAACATAAGGATCGGACGACAAACAGCCGAATCAGGAATCTAGAGTGCTTCAGATGAGCTTAGGATATCTGCCAGTCGGGCAATCTTAGCTAGAATATTCTTTTGTTTTTTTTTTTTTTTTTTTGTGTTTTTATTATTATTTTATTACAGTTGCTTAAGTATTTGGCTTATGTATATTTTATATTTTATGCTGATTCGCTTTGAACAAGACTTCACGCACAACCGCACACACGCACACAAACACGCACCACTAAACGTTTGACTCTGAGTGCGTGTGTGCGTGTGTGTAAAGTTGGCATAGTTTTTGAGGTTTTGCTTGAATGTATGCAGCACACTTGTGGCTCATGTTGTATTAATATAATCACTTTGGGGATTTTGTGGCTAAACAACAACGAGAACAGCAGCAACAACAACAACAACAACAATTGTCTCAGTGCTACGAAACACCACTCACATGTTAAACAGATATTAAACAAGTAAGAAGTTCTAGTCGGGAGCTCCCGACTAGCGAATACCCTGAACCCTCTTATTCCAACATCAAATGCAATTCGCGCTACGCGCTCGTTTAAACTAAAAAAGATAAATTTAAAAAAAAAAGTTCCCTTGGCAGTAGAGGTTGCTATAGCTTGAACACTTGCCACTGCTTCTACTCAACAGTCACAACAATAAGTCTTATTGAGCAAAAAAAAAAAAACGAATAGCAGCACAGAAAACCATCGCAATTACAATGCGTTTGATAGAATTCGAAGCAGACAGAAATTCTTGGAACTTGCGCTAGCTGCCTCAAACACGTGCGCAGCCAAACCACATAAATTATTTCTGTGTGTTTCTTAACCGATCTTATTGAAATTTTCTACAGTATATCTTATTGTACCATACAATATTTGTGTATTCTCAAAAGGTCAATTGCATTAAAATTGTGACTTAAATTGGTGGGCAATACAAGCTGGGTTATTAACTTGATTTATAGCTCTGCGGTGGTAGCCGGAAGGTGGCGATAGGTATAAAATAAAAGATGCTTGATATATATATACTATTCTTGAGTAAACATATCACTTTTGGTGACTCTAGCTCTTATTATTCACCCAATTTGCTCAAAAAACAGGATGTCGTTATTTCGATTTTTATCGATTGCTAGGAAACGGAGTAAGTTATCGATTATCGGAAACAAACTCGATCTGCACATGGACTATGAGGACTTACAGCTAAAATCAAGTCTCTTCAAGTCTCTAGCTATTATAGGTTCTGATATCCTTGCATTCATACATACTGACAGACAGACAGACAGACGGACATGGCTAGATCGACTCGGCTATTGATGCTGATCAAGAATACATATACGTTATGAGGTCAGAGATGCTTCCCTCTGTCTGTTACAAACACATGCACAAATGCATTATACCCTTTTTACCCATTTTCAATGGGTTCAGGGCATAACTATGACTATGAGGGTAAGCTTATGTTTACGCTCCTTACGCTCCTTACATTTTGCCCTACTCTCGCGTCCTGCGGCCCACCTTCGTCTGGCACTCGTCCTTCTTGCTGGCTGTTGGACAGTTTTGCTAGCCGCTCCTTGATTATGACAGTTACATGTCATATTTTGAATATTTCATGCATCACGCTCTAGTCCTTGCTCTATCTCCCGCTCTCTTTTTATGTGCTCCTGCCCAATACCCTAAATGCCTCAACTGTTGTGCCCTAGAATTTGCGGCATGCAATCGCATTTGCCACTGCATGAGGCAAACACATGCGCACACAGGCACACACCCTCTTAGGCACACACCCAACCAAACTTTAGCGCACATTAAATAAATTGATGTTAATTCGGCACAAGAGAAGGTTCAGAACACATAAACTTAATTTAAGTATGTCTTTAAGAAAAACTTCACTTATATGCATAAAAAAAAAACAAACAATTACAGTGAGAACTCGGTTAACGCATCATTTTATTGGTCGAATATCTGTTCGAATCGTCAACTTTTCGACGGACCGTTCCTATGAAAGCTTTAAAACTGAGAAACTAGTTCGTATACAAACGGACAGACAGTTGGACGGACGTGGCGACCATATCGGACTGATGGCAATATCAAATCGGCTGTTGATGCTGATCTAGAATACGTATACTTAATGCGCTCGAAGATGTCTCTTGTTATGCATTATGTCATCTCGTGAAAAAATTATGATAAAACTGTGAATTGTTCTTAAACCGATTTTGTTAACCAATTTGCTTTGGCCTTAGTTGAGAACGTCTAGAATTGATATGGTTTATGTGGTATCTTCTTATCTATGAGGCACTTGTCACATGCTGAGCAAAGAGCTGGCAGCTTTTGTCAGTTGGCTCTATTAACTCTCTATCACAGCCTGCCACCATACACCTCCAGACCGCCCACTCCACCACCTTATGCCTTATCTATAGCCTGACATCCATTCAGTGCCCAGCTGTTGTTGTTGTTGTTGTTGTTGCCATCATTTCGTCATGTTAATTTGACGAGGCTTATGGCTTTTGAGGCGACAAACAGCAGCAGCAGCAGCAACACCTCTTGCTGCCAGAGTGAGCGAGAGAGAGAGAGAGAGAGAGAGAGACAGTGAGGAAGAAGGTGGGAGAGGGAGAGAGAGAGAGCGCGCTAATGGCTGTCTTCTTGCCTTACCTTTGCTGCGTGGCCATCAAAAAAAGCATAGCATACATTTGTGCGTTGCTTATGTAACGCAACGCTGCCTTGACATTCACACTGTCTTTCCGTATGTGCGTGTGTGTTAGTGTGTGTGTGTGTGTGTGTGTGTGATTGTGTGCGTGTTGTGTAAGCATCGTTACGTGCACACACATAAAACGCGCCTCCTAATGTTAGCATCATTAGCCAGCATCACCAGGACCTTGCTCCACCTGCTGCCAGCCAACCTCTCCAGCACAGTCTTCTGCTTATCTTTAACGCCACACACACACTCACATACACACACACACCTGCATATGGGCACTCGAGCATGTAAGTGTATGTCTGCTTCTTTGCTTTGCTTACTTTTTGCTTGTCACCCTTTGTGACCCACGCCCAGCTGGCAAATGCTTCACAGATCCCAAGAATCTGGCCGATCTCTCCGCCAGCTTCCAGCTGCTGGCCTGTGCCTCTTTAATGCTGATGACATCGCACACTGCACTCGGTCTAATCTAGTGCAGGCTGCTGCTGATGACAAACGCGCATAATGGCCAGACCAGATACAGAGTGCGAGAGAGAAAGAGAGAGAGAGCGTGAGTGCGTGTAAGAGAGGCAGCGAGAGAGAGAGAGAGAGAGAGAGAGAGGGGCAGCTGGCAATAGCAGCATTTTGTTGACTAATGATTTACAAAATACAAGTCTCCAGCTGTGCGTCGCCATTGCCGTCACATGCAGACTCCGAAAGGCGGCCATTGTTTGCCTCCTTGCCTACTGATACCCTGCAAATGATTGAAGAAGGGCTTACTGTTGCTGGGTAACAGGCAGTAGGCTATTTACATATATCATTCATCGGGATTCGAGCCGAGACGCCTTTACAATCTGAAGATTGTAACTTTAAGGATTCATGTCAGTCAGGCGTTTGTGAGGCATACATATCTTGATCAAGATTCGTAAAGCTAGAAATACTTTCTTTGATATGGAGCCATATCCTTCCCATATAAGACGGCCCGTAATTCTATAAAGACTCATCGAACTCAGGATCTATTGGTGCTAGTCCTACAAAATTTGGCATGTAGGCTTCTCAACGGATTATGTGGCCAAAGCTAAGGTCAGCCTTGGCTGGTCTAGAAAATTTAAAATTGGGGCATTATGGCCCGCAAATAAGCCGCAAGCTGGAGTCTGCTTTATTTTTCCATCTCTGCCTTTTGTTTTTTATGCCCGACTTTATGTAATGTGCCAAGTAAATGTTTCTGTAGAACTTGAAAGCTTGAAGAAGTTAGGCGGCCTAAGGTTTGCTGAATCTATAATTCTAAATACATCTTTGAATATTTGTTAATTGACTTTCAAAACTTTTGCAAAAGTTGAACTAGAACTTTTCTCTTTGTTCTGCAACTCTTGCCTCTAGATAAAGCAGCCATCTAACTTGGTAACTTTATGCGTCAAAGTTCTCAAATTTGTTACATAGATGCTATATATAGTTAATTCGCATTTTAAATTCTGTCTATGCGCTTGCACAAGCTCTTATGTGAATAATAAACGAATTCCATTTCGATTTAGAAACTTGTTGTAGAGTAAAGGCCTAGTCGAGGTTTTATCTTTTCCGTGCCCTTTAACGTTTTGCTATTGGCAACAGTTTTGGCCCACTTGGCTGTTGGCTTTATCTCGATATGAGGCCAATTATCGGCAAAGCACCGGCGTCTAATCGACCCGATCAACGTCCTGGCAGGCTCTTCAATTAGCTGCCCGCTTCTGTATCCGATTCACAAGTGCAATCAAATCATATCGCATTGATGCGAGACATTGTTGAATGGAAATGGCTGATGGGTAGTGTGCGAGCGAAAGAGGGAGAGCCAGAAAGACAGAGAGAGAGAGAGAGAGGGAGAGATGCGTCCTTTTGCCCAGCCAAGTCTATCGCATTATTTACACAATTCGCCTCAAGTCGAGTGTCGTGGGGTAAAAGCCAACAGGCAACAATTGTGGCTGCCCGCGAGGCCCAAAGGGTCGGCCAAAGGGGTTTGGCATAAATATGCGTGTGTGCCATTTATAAATGGATATGTTCTCAATGAATGGGCAGAGGGCAGAGGCAAAGGATGAACAGAATGTGGACGAAGGATGGCGTCAGCCCACAAGGCCCAAAATTGTGCGCAATTAATTATTTGTCATTGGTTGACGCCGTCTACTTTTTGTGTGTTGTGCGTGTTCTGTGTGTGCTCTGTGTGTGTGCGCGCCTGTTGCCATTTTCGGGTCGTCTACGAAACTTATTTTCACATCCGTTTAAAGCCGATTTAAGCCAAGTGCTGCGACAATTCACTGCAGACATTTTTATTAAGACATTAATTTATGACTGAAAAGTGAACTTTCCCAAATCGATGACTAAAATTGCTCTAAGAAGTAGCTTATCAGAGAGCAATAAATATGAAAGAGTGTATTTGAATATACCAGATATATATACTGTTCCAATCCCATTTCATTCCGCACGTATTTGGCTTACCACAGCTATACATCAATCAAATAAATTTATTGTTCCATTCTTATTTTGTTTCGGAATAACTAGACTTTTCTATCGTTACCCATATTTCGATATCTCTATGCACTTGTGTTCTATTTCACTTTATTCCAATCGTTACTAAGCCAGCACGGTTTATATATATTTTGATCAGTTGTGTGAGGTGTTCCATTTCCATTCCGTTTCAATTGCCACAATATTTGTACAACTAAAACAAATAATTATCAAATTATTCAAGCTCTTTGTTTTTGTTCCGTTTCCACTTCATTCCAAGCGAAATGATATTAGACCGCTGTCCGACGTTCAGTGTTTTACATAAATGGTGTTTCCTTCCTATTCCGTTCCAGCCTTAACTTCAGCAGGAACCCTTCAATTTACATAGTCCGTTCTGCAGATGCCCAACAGCAAGAAAATAGCGTGCAATATTTAATCTCATTAATTCCACTCACTTGTTCCATTGTCAACGTTCCGCAGGAAGTTCATTGTCCAGTCACAAGAGCGCAAATTTGGATTCGCCCACCCGAATGAACAATAACAATAATA